AGCACAATGTGCGCGTTTTTTCGACATATAGCAAAAATAGGCCAAAAACATGCCTATTTTCAATCAATTATAGCTCCTTAGAATGAAAGGTGACCCCCAATTTTTATTACATATTCTGAAAGCACATGAGTTGTTCATATGATTTTTTAGGTCATAATGGCTGATCGGACATTATGACGTCATTATATTGCCATCTGAATTCAACAAACTGAATATTATCGATGTCGTCATTTAAAAAAAATGCGCATTTGAGCGTATCTCGCTTATTCTTGGTCGATTTTCTTCCAACTTTGAGTATGTTATAGCTCAGTCAATTCTCTTACATAAACGTACACTTTTTTACATTTCGATGACGTCATCATGGTCAAAATATAGGGTTTTGCTTACCCCCTTATCTTTCTTTCGTCAAACCATTGATGACCCCATAATCACCTTAATCATTCGTGATTTCTGAAACATATTTAGTGGGCATAAACTTCAGGTCATGGTTAAATGTTATGTACATTATATTTTTGTGCGCGCGCAATAACGCGAGCGTTCGCGTGCGTCAAATTGAAAATATGCTTTATATCAGGTTTTTTTTTAATCAGTTATAGCTCCTTAGGATGAAAGGTGACACCCAATTTTTATTACATATTCTGAAAGCACATGAGCTGTAGATATGATCGTATATATCATAATAGCTGATCGGACATTGTGATGTCATCATATTGCCATCTGAATTAAAAAACCAGAACAAAATTATATTTCTTTTCTTTAAACGTTGATGACGTCAAATCATCTTAACCATTCGTCATTTCTGAATAATATTAAATGGGCTTATACTTCAGATCAAGTTTGAATGTTAGGTATCTTACTTTTTTGTTTGCGCGTCTTAATGGGGGCGTACGGGTGCGTCAAATATTACATATGCTAATAATTATGCCTATTTATAATCAAATATAGCTCCTTAGAATTAAAGGTGACCCCCAATTTTTATTACATATTCTAAAAGCACATGAGTTGTAGATATGATTTTATATATCATAATAACTGATCGGACATTGTGACGTCACCATATTGCCATCCTAAGTCAAAAAAACTGAATTTTTATTCGATAAATTCTATGAATGATCATTACTCCTTCACCAATAGGCGTTTGTCAATGAAAGTTGATACATATATATCTCATAGCAAAAGACAACAGTGTCATTAAGATGCGCACGTGCGTCATGACGTGCGCGTACGCTTGAGTAAATCTTTTAAAATGCTCAAAATTCTATTTTAACAAACTAAATTATTGTTTTATTCCATTATCAGCATTTAATTATTGTTCAATCCACCGCGCGCACAGTTCCTCGTGGGTTAAAGTGCGGCGGATCACCTAACTCGTCCTCAGTGACGAGTTCAAATCTAGTTATGCTTGATTTTGTTCTGTTTGTGTGGATTCTGTTTGGAGAGTCACTTGATAGTTTTCATCTTTAACTTTTTGACAATCCTTGGATTCAATTCAATTTTGAGAATTTGAATTAAAGTGTTTTTGTAATTAAAAAAACCATCGTTCCTAATGATGTCATCGCCGCAAGTTGAGTTCATAAAATCGAGAGTTTGTAAATGGGAGGTACGTAATTGGGAGATGTTACTTTACTTGGTAAAACACTGTGAGAGCAAAGGGCAAGCACTGCCTCAGCAAATAAGGATGATGATGTAAGATGATGTAAGCATATTGACTGCAGAATTTTACTGTCATTATGCTTACGTCGGCACATCTTACATCATCTTTCTTATCTGCTGAGGCAACGCTTACATCATCAATTTTGATTGTAACTTAAGGAAGACAACATAGCTTTTTGCATTTCATTAAGATCAGCTGTTATGCCGTATAAGCAATTCTAAAGACTGCTGTAAAGATTAATCCATTCATTATTTCAGAAAATAAGGATGAATGATGTCCTATAGTTGGTTTAATTTAACCTTCATTGAAACAAAATAACTCATTATAGGACATCTTATGCATTGAAAATCGCAAAATATACAAAAATATTGTACAAAACTAGACACATGCTATGCTTGTGCAGGGGGCTTATTTTTCTAGCTTCCAAAGATATGTGAATGCATATACAGTATATTATATATATGCTATCTTAACTCTTCTGTGGAAAGTCATGTATTTATTATGTTTTATAACACGTAACTTACAGCCAGTGAAAAGCATTGAAAATGGGGTTGTAGGACAATTCCATTTATTCTAGCATTTATTTAGAGCAGGTTAGTTTTAGGTCAATCCTAATTGCTAGGGGTATGACTTTAAAACATTTATGGAAGAAAAAAATACTTTCAACAGTTTACCTGGCTTTTGTTGACATCATCATTTGGATGTATCGGAAACTTGCTTCCCATTACACCATTCATCATTTGTATGGCACGGTTACTAATTACCTCATTTACATTCATATTTGTTTGAGTGCCTGATCCTGTCTGCCAGATCACCAATGGAAAATGACTTATCAACTTTCCACTTGCAACCTAAAAAAAAAAAATTTTAATTTACATTATCAATTTTTGTGCCTACTGAAAGTAGCTACTACATCATCGAATGGTTAACCGAGGTATAAAAAGTGACTGTGAATCTCGGTACCAGTCGACACCTTTGATCACGAGCTGACTACCAATCAACGCTCATAATTAATCTGGCGAATATTTTGATAAAATGCGGGAGGTTATGCATGCGGGAGGTTACGAATGTTACTAAAATTACTTGACACTCAGCGGATCCTTTTTTAGTTTTATGTTATGTTAGGTGGTACGTACCTGCCTCCACGTTTTTTATGTGAGCTGACAAACAAAAGTAAGTTCTGTGTAGGTAGACCACGTTTGATTTTACTAAATTTGACAATTTTAGGCCTAGGTGAGCTAATGATTTCCATGTGTTACTATTATTAGATAGTATATCAATTATTGTTAGTAAATTAAAATTTGTTTTGATGTTTCATTTTGAGTCTTTTTCCGTGAGTTTCAGTTTTATAGCTAGGCCTAGTATGCTGATTTATCATTGGCCCGCCAGTGGAGCGACAATTTTACTTGTACGTCGTCGACTCAGGCCCTTCCTTGCTAGGACTAGGCCTAGTTTACAATACATAACGGACTAGGCTTAATTAAACTAAAATTTTAGGCCAGGATGTGATACAGAAGCTTGGAATATTCAGCACTTCAAGGATGGCATTCCAAGGAGAGGAGAGCCTATTCATGAGATAGGCCTAGGCTACAAGGCCTAGCCTAGTTAGGTTACTGTAGGTATCCCTATAGGCTATACTACTGATGTGTAATATTATAACTAGGCTAGTGCTAGTTCTAGAGAGGGCGTTATTGGTTCTACTACGGTCATTTCAGCAGCCATGTTTATACATAAACAACATGTTGTAGCTAAGTAGGTAGTAGGACTATTGCTAATAAAACTATAGGGCCACCTAGGCTAGGTAGGTAAAAATATCTGGCTAGACGACCTATCTAGTGTATCTAGGCATAGTTAGGGCTTAGGGAGCCTCGCAAAATAAAGCAACGCGTATACCCGTCTACAACGCGTGGTTGGGGATTAAAATCTCTTCGCGTTGCCGACGAGTGGTTCAAGATACTGATCAAAAATGTTGGACGATTCCATTT